TGGGGGAATATGGGGGATTTGGGGACATGGGGTGATACAGGGGGACATGGGGACGATGGGGACAGCATGGGGACACCGTGTGTGTGTGCAAGCCATGGCTGGAGGGACACGCGTGTGGAGGGAGCCGGGACGTGTGCGCGTCCCCGTGTGTCCCCTTGTGTGTTCCCGTGTCCCCTCTTCTGTCCCCGTGTATCCCAGTGTGTGTCCCCATGTATCGCTGTGTCCTCTCGTGTGTCCCCATGTGTCCCCTCATGTGTCCCCTTATGTGTCCCCGTGTGTCCCCTAGTGTGTCCCCAGCTGTGTCCTCATGTCCCCTTCTGTCCCTTCTTGTGTCCCCATGTGTGTCCCCGTACCCAGGTGTGTCCACACACGTCTGTCCCCATGTGTCCCCGTGTGTCCCCAAGTCCCACCATGTCCTGGTGTCCCTGTCTGCCCTCGTGTCCCCATGTGTCCCCTGACCCATGTGGGTGTCCACAGGCTGGGGGGGACAAGCCCCTGTTGGAGAAGGGGCTGCAAGGGGGGTCCCCAAAACTGAGTCCCGGGGGCACGGGGGCCCCCACTTGGGAACATGGGTGCCACCACCCTGGGGACATGGGTGCCACCACCTTGGGGACATGGGTGCCACCACCTTGGGGATATGGGTGCCACGCCCCTGGATATGGGGCTGCCACCAGCCTGGGGATGAAGGTGCCACCACCCTGAGGATACGGGTGCCACCACCCTGGGGACATGGGTGCCACCACCCTGGGGACGCGCGTTCCACTACCCTGGGGATGGGGGTGCCACCAGCCTGGGGATGAGGGTGCCATCACTTTGGGGACCTGAGTGCCACCACCCTGAGGATACGGGTGTCACCACCCTGGGGACATGGGTGCCACCACCCTGGGGACACCGGACGTCACCCTGGTTCCCTTTGCAGACCGCCCCCCACCGAAGAAGCCGGCGGCTCATCTTATAGGTAAGGGTTGGGGACAGGGGGGACCCGGACACCCAGGTACCCAACCTGAGGGTGGGGGTGGGTGGCCCCGGA